TCTGCTCGTTACCTTGCTCAAATTGAAAGCCTCACTCGGGGCAGGGCTCACGCGAAAGGATTTGCTGGAGAGTCGTCGTCGTCGTCGGTCCTCTTAGGCAGTTGGAAAAAAGTTTCATTGTTGTCCCGGGATTTGGGCAAACAAAATTAAGCAGTCTGCAAGTTTTTAATTAAAAAAGGACGAGCGACGTGTGCCTTAAGCGGCTACGATGCGCGATGCGGGCCAATCCCCCGAAGGCCAAAGGTGGGGCAAGGATCTCTTTAAAGATGAAAATCCATTATGCGTTTTAAGGATTCATTTATAATTTGTTGTAAGCCTCGGGCAGTACTTACTGTAAGTACTTTGTCTTGTTGTTTAAACGAATTCAAACCTAAGTTTAATAATAAGTTTTACATTTTGGTAATAAGTTAATTTCTTTAATTCACAGAAATGGCAAACTGCATGGCATCTAAACAAAGGTAGAGGATCCCCACCTGTATGGGAACAAATTGCGTGGCCGTTGGCAGGAAATTTGTTTAATCTTGCAACAAATTGGCGAAGACACGCAATCCGCGGAAACCGAATCGCCAGTCAGGCCAATCGAGCGACTCGAGCAGAGTGTTAAGCCAAAACTTGATGAGATGCAAATGGATTTGCGAGATAAAAAGAGTGAAGTCGTCGCAGACGCAGACACAGAGACTGGGTGAGTGAGAAGAGGAGGATCGAGGACCAGTTCGGAGATGGAGAATGGAGACTGGGGTAACCGAGTCCAGACGTGGGCCCGGTCCATGCCGGCTTATTATTAACTGTATAATTTAATGTGTAGGCAGGAAATTGATTTACTATCAACGTCAGTTAATTTTTTTCTCATTTTATAAATTAAGCAACTCCACAGCGGGCAGCATAAATCTTGCAACTATTCCTCGCCAAAAAAACCAACAACAACAGCAAAACAACGTCAAAAAAATAAATCACAAATTAAGTTGTTGGCTCCCACAGTTAACCGGGCCGAGAGGGAAAGGCAGTGGAGCAGCAGCAACCCAAAATAAATAAAATAAAGCCAAACAGAAATAACGCCCGTCATCCGAAGATAAGGCCAGCTTGTTCGGGTGACAAACTCCACACCACAGGAGGATGACTGGCAAGCCAGAGGAGGAGCAGAGGAGCAGAGAAGCAGTGGAGGATGCTGGGGCCAGGAGTCATCCCGTCACAGTCACTTAATAATTTATCGCGCCCACTTTGTATGTGCGTTCCTGTCTCATCCACCTGATACCCTAATTAACCGGAGGTTAAACGAAGGCCAAGTATACGCTTAAGAGGATAAAAAGGTAAAAGGACTTTATGGACAGGTACAGTAAGTCATGATAAATCTAAACTAAAAGAAGAGTTTCAAGAACAAAGTGTTAACGTAAGTTTGTTAAAAACATATTATATATTTTTTTAATCCCATCTAAGAGCATCTCAACTTCGACTCAAACACACTCGGTTATCCTCTTTCTTATTTTATATTATCTTTGTATCTTAATGTTTTGCTGTTCGTCGTCGGCTGAGTTATCTGGGATTTTATCTGCTAGGTAGGCGCCTTGCCAAGTTGTGCAAAAAAGTAAAATCTGTGTAGGCCCAGACAAAAAGCACAAATCAAATAAGAGCCGAAAAATGAGTAAGATATCAGGGGACAACTATATTAAAATTATACAAAGATAAAGATGAAATGCAGAACTAGTTTTGAAAATGTCAATCTAAAGTGGACAATCTAAGATATAGATATTGTAGGAATATATATTTAATATTAATCTTGAATGCCTTCTCCTATCTTGTACCAATTCCTAGTAGAAATGAATGCCGTCTGTCCCTATCATAAAACTAAACCCACTCGACTTTCGATTTCTGATCGATAGAGTTCGTTATGTTGTTATTGTCGCTGTTACCATTGTTACAATTTGGACGGCGGGCAGTGAGAGTCAGTGGAGCCGTGACAAGTTTCCAATTGCATTTCATCAAAGTTTCCTCAATTTTCGGGTTCAACAGCAAATTGCTATTAAATTGCCACACAATTGCGAATGCCATAAATCGAATGGAATTGAAACGAATCGAATCGTATCGAAACGAAGCGCGCGCGGCTCCGGCTCCAGGTCCAATTCCATAACCATGTCCATGGAACCCGACCAACTCCCACTCCCTCAGAGTTGGAATTTAATGGCCTGGTTTTCCGCTTGGTTAACTCAATTTGCGTGGCTTCTTTCAATTAGGTTTCCGCTGTCTGCTTTGTTGGCTGCAAAGCTCATTTCAGTTAAATATAAAATTCGTTATTTGTTTATTTGTCGCCAATAGAAGCGAGGGTTCCGTTTAAAGAGTTTTTATGGACTTTCCGTTGAACTCGTAAAATAGAAATGTTAAATAGTGTTTTCATTTCCATTTGTCTGCCGCAAATGAGTGCGACGACAGTTTTCCTTCGATAAGTTAGTACCAAGGGGAGGCTCGGCAGGTGCAGCTAATGGGCCCAACCCTGTTCTTTGATCACAAAACGATCCCCGATCCCATTTGCACCTGGGCGGCATCATCGTATGGTAACCCGAAACCAAAAGCGACACCGAAACCACTCCGTTAATCAATAATGAAGCGCTGATGAATCAATTAAATGGCATTTCGGCCACACAAACTTATCCAAAGTGCAATCATTTATCACATGGCCCATAAAGAAACTGCCAACAAATGCAGCAAAAGTCATTGAATGGGGCCTTCATCTTGTGTGTGTTTTCCTTAACCCTCCAAGAAGCTGGCCCAAAACGATAAACGCGAAATTATTTCAAGCAAATAATGCGAATTTAATGTGACATCCGACAGGCGACAAGAGACTCGCCAAGCCGAAGGACCACAACTCTGAGACGCCAAAGTCTCCAGCCAACAAGCCAATGAAAGCCAAGGAGATAGCCAAGTTCAGACCTCACAAACACCCAAAATGTTTTGAGTGGTGAGAGGAACATGGATACTCTTCTTTACAGGATTGACACAGTGTCATGACAAAAAGATTGGATATCAAGAATCAAATAAAATATTTTTTTAAGTAGGAGTTTAAGTCTGATTACTCTTCCATCTATCATTATTCTAACTTCTTATAGACAATCTTATTTTAGTAATTTTGGAAGAATTGGAAGAATCTTTGTTTAGAAACTAACTAGATCAGCAATATTACAGTGCCTTGCCAATTAAATAAGGTCTCATTAAATGATACACCACCGCTGGCTATAATATTCCCAAATAAGTTGCACTTAATCGTTCCAAATTTCATCCTAAGCCCCCCAATAAACTCGGTCTTACCCTGCCCCATCCAGATGAGGATTCTTGATACCTGCTGGCATTTTCAAGTCTTTCTTTTGTCCAGTTTGATGTGACAGCCGTGTTCGCCGCTCTCCCCTTTTGGTTCCTTGGAAAGGGTAACTCGTGAAGTCCCATCTCCGCAGCCCTGACACACACACCAAATGACGCATTATTGAACTGTCAATGGAAGTGACAAAGGGTTAACAGTGTCACCATGGAGTAGTTACCCATTTATTTCTGTCTCCCCTGCTTTTCTCGTTTTAACAAAATAATGCTGCTTGGCTGGCTGGCTGTCCGATGTCAGAGGACTAGGAATGTGATATTGAAGCCTCGTTTAGGGAAAAATCTTACTATATATGTGTAGAATGTATATAATATATTAAAGTCAAACTATCAGTACTTAAAAAGCTAACTTTCCTTTGCCACATCATATGCATTCTTCTCATAATCATCACAGCTATTCCCAGTTACGTTGCAGATTTGACTCATGGGTATTCCCATGTTTTATGATGGCCAGAACGAAGTTCCACAAGTTTAGACTTCATCTTTTCACTTTTTCTTTCACTATCTCTCTGTGCGAAAAGTTTTCCTACGAACTTTGGCTAATCTCGAGGCCCCGAGGCTAGAGAACATTTCGAGCTGTGGCATATTTATGGGATGGGAGCTGAGATGGGAGCTGAGATGGGAGCTGAAATGGGAGCTGAGATGAGCTGAGGAGGCGTCTCACCTTGCCTTCCTGACCTGGGCTTGGTCTGGTCTTCGACTATCAGTGGGTCAGTGTCATCATCCGTGCCGCACTGTCGAGCATCAAATGGCCGTTGGCCAATAAAGCCCAACACTTGGCCAGGGTGTGGGGATGTCTCGGCTGCCGACCGTCCGTCCGACCAGGTCTGCATCATCTTTTGGGTCGGGTTCTGAAACTGAACCTGGAGGCTGGAGACTGGAGTCAAAGATGGGGAAGATGAAGGTGCTCACGTCACTTTTCTTGTTTGATAAGGATCCGCAATCGAGAACGAAGACAGGGCGAAGGCGTACGGTCGAATATATTGGAATTTTATTATGCATGACAGCTCAAAAAAAATAAAGAGAAGTAACAACAATGGACACTCCCCCAATAACAACGGCAACAACAACAGCAACAGCAAGGAGCGGCTGGGTGTCTGAGTCCTCCTCTCCGCCGACTTAACCCTCTGCTTACCTGTTTGACAGCGGGTTGCCTCCGATTCCTATAACCAAAATGCTTAGCCATGTGAGAAAATATTGCGTTATTCATATTTTAATTTTACTTGTTTAAGGTTTCCTCATCATTTTTCTCTCATTTCTCTTTCGGTTTTGATTATTATTTTGTGTTTGGAAAACGATTCTGGAATACCGATAAGGTGCAAAGGCGGAACGGCTGCTTTGTTGTTGGATTGGTTCTTGTTCTGCATGTTTTGTGCATGATTATGTAACATTTTTTCGAGGCTGACCCGTCCGTCGAACCGTTCTTCTTCGAAAGGAAACATCGATTTATATTTTGACAAATGATTTACCAATGAGTTGACAGTTTTTATTCGGCTTCTTTTTCCCTTGACTTTTTTTTTTATTTTTTTGGACAGGCTTAATAAAAGGAAAACAACGAGGAGGGAACATGTATTTAATTAATTAAGTCGCGTCAAGATACAAAAATCCGAAAGGCGATAAAAGAGCCAATAATGAAAAATATCAAGCCTTGTTAGGGATAAAAAGTGCAAGCAAACCAATCATTTCATTTCTGAATATCAACAAAGGAATTAAAATCATTTTAGTTTAGAGCTTAAATACTCTTCAATGGCTAACTAATGGAATCAGTTACCTCTACTAATCGGTATATCAAATAATGGAAATTTCATCCCAACAATAGAGAAAAATGTCAACATTTTAGTTGATTGAAATCAGCAGAGCGAGAAAATGCAATTTATAACGATTTTTAGCAAATTACTCTTTATTTAGACTTTGACAAAGGCAAATATTAAATTAGGTTTTGACGGTCAAAGCCCATATTAGGAGGTTCCCAAACAGAAATCGTCAGTTGAGCGGAGATCGTGGTAGCAGCCTAAGCTTCAAGCTTATTTATTAAATAAATAAAATCAAAGTTTACTTAAAATGTCCACCACATTTACCATAAATGGACAACCTTATACGGGTAACTTAAAAACAAAGGAAGTTTCTTAAGCCCCTAATAGAAAAAACAGAAAAAAATCCTCTTTAACCACATAACTTTCTCTTCTCTTAGTTAACCTTAGCGACCTCCCGCCAGACATAACTCTGAACACCTTCATCCGGGAGCATGCCCAACTCACAGCCACTAAATTCATGTGCCTGGAGGGAGGATGTGGAGCCTGTGTTTGTGCAGTTAGCGATGGGAAGAGCACATGGACTGTGAATTCGGTGGGTCAAAGGGTAGCCGCGAGATCATTCCGGCTCTAACTACATCTCATCTTATTGATTTTTCAGTGCCTGAAGCTGCTGAATACCTGTGCCCAGCTGGAGATCATCACTTGCGAGGGTCTGGGCAACCAGCTCAGCGGCTATCATCCGATTCAGAAGCGACTGGCCAAGATGAATGGCACCCAGTGCGGCTTTTGCTCTCCGGGATTCGTGATGAATATGTACGGACTGATGGAACAGCACGGTGGCCGGGTGACCATGGAGGAGTTGGAGAATTCTTTTGGTGGCAACATTTGCCGCTGCACTGGCTATCGTCCGATCTTGGATGCCATGAAATCTTTTGCAGTGGACAGCGATATTGAAGTTCCAAAGGAGTGCATGGATATAGAGGATCTGAATCTGAAGGCTAGAAATTGTGGAAAGACGGGAAAAGCCTGCAAAGGCAGCTGTCGGCAGACAAAACTAATCTACGAGGATGGATCCCAGTGGTATTGGCCAAATACCCTGACGGAGTTGTTCGAGGCTCTGGATAATATCCCAGATACGGATGAGTTTATGATGGTTGGAGGTAATACAGCTCATGGTGTTTACAGAAGATCACCCGATATCAAGCATTTCATCGATTTGAGTGGAGTGGAGGATCTGCATCAGTACAGCTCTGAAAGGGATAAACTAACATTGGGAGCCAATCTTAGCTTGACGGATACTATGGATATCCTTCGTAATACTTCCAAGCAATCAGGCTTTGAGTACCTTGAGGTCCTATGTAACCACATCGATCTGGTAGCCAATGTTCCCGTCAGAAATGTAAGTTTAGTTTTGATCTTAATAACCAATCTTACAATTCAACTTTTAGTCAGGCACTTTGGCTGGCAATATTTGTACTAAGAAGCAACATCCCGAGTTTCCATCGGATATCTTTATATCCTTTGAAGCTCTGGATGTCCAAGTTATCGCCATAAAGGATGCACATGAAGAACAGGAAATGTCTCTGGAGGAGTTTTTGGGAGATCCTGAAAGAAAAATTCTGCTCAAGGCTTTTATACTGCCTTCCTACCCGAAGGATAAGTATATATACGACTCCTACAAGGTAAAAGTTATTAAAAATCCTTAAAAACTTTAAAATAAAACTATTTACCTTTCTAAAGATCATGCCTCGTGCTCAAAATGCCCATGCATATGTCAATGCAGGCTTCCTTCTCGAACTGGATAGCGACTCCAAGGTGAAGTCGGCTCGTATTTGTTTTGGAGGAATTCGACCGGACTTCATCCATGCCATAGACATTGAACAGTTAATGATCGGACACAGTCCCTACGAATCCAATCTGGTGGAGCAGACATTCGCCAAGCTGGAAAGCCTGTTCAAACCCGATGAGGTTCTGCCCGATGCCAGTCCCGCCTATCGCTCTAAGTTGGCCTGCGGATTGCTCTACAAGTTCCTTTTGAAACACGCCCCCGATGCAGAAGTCAATGGAAAGTTTAAGAGTGGAGGAGAATTACTCCAGCGGCCACTCTCCTCTGGCTTACAGCTCTTTCAGACCCAAAAGCAGACCTATCCTGTCACACAGGCTGTGCAGAAGTTGGAGGGAATGATTCAGTGCTCCGGAGAGGCCACCTACATGAACGATGTACTGACCACTTCAAACTCCGTTTACTGCGCCTTTGTGGGTGCCACTAAGGTGGGAGCCACCATTGATCAAATCGATGCTTCTGATGCTCTCCAACATCCGGGAGTGGTGGCCTTTTACACAGCGAAGGATATTCCCGGAACGAATACGTTCTGTGAGCCCAGCTTTGGCTATGAGGCAGAGGAGATCTTCTGCTCGGGATTGGTACGCTACTCCGAACAGCCAGTGGGAGTTGTGGTGGCTCTAACTGCAGACCAGGCTCAACGGGCTGCGAGGCTAGTGAGGGTCAGCTATAGCAATCCCAGCTCCGACTTCAAGTTGATGCCCACTTTGAAGGATGTTTTCTCTTCGGAAACTCGAGATCCTTCTCGCATTCTTCCCTTGGCTATTTCGAAGTTGCAACAAATCAAATTCTCTGACAAACCGGACTTGGAGGTGAGGGGCATCTTCGAGATGGGCCTGCAGTATCACTTTACCATGGAACCCCAGACCACCATTATTATACCCTTTGAAGATGGACTCAAAGTCTTTTCGGCTACCCAATGGATTGACCAGACTCAATCTGTGATTGCCCATACACTCCAGATGAAGGCCAAGGATGTGCAGCTGCAGGTAATAAAGATTATTTTACTGAATTTAAATTTATTCATTGAGTAATTTTCATTACAGGTTCGCCGATTGGGAGGTGGCTATGGCTGCAAGATTTCACGAGGAAACCAGGTTGCCTGTGCCGCCGCCTTGGCTGCTCACAAACTAAATCGTCCCGTGCGATTCGTCCAAACTCTGGAATCCATGATGGATTGCAATGGCAAGCGATGGGCCTGTCGCTCTGAATATCAATGCCATGTCAAAGTCAATGGCAGGATTGTTGGTCTATCAAATGATTTCTATGAGGACGCTGGCTGGAACGCCAATGAGAGTCCTGTTCAAGGACATTCCACCTATACGGCAGCGAACTGCTATGAGTTTACGGACAGTAACTTCAAGCTCAGTGGTCATGCTGTTCTCACGGATGCCCCCAGTTCCACCTGGTGTCGTGCTCCGGGATCTGTTGAGGGCATTGCCATGATGGAGAACATCATAGAGCACGTGGCATTTGAGATCCAGAAAGATCCAGCAGAAGTGCGATTGGCTAATATTAGCAAGAAGAGTAAGATGGCCACCCTTTTGCCGGAGTTTCTCAAGACAAGGGAGTATTATTCCCGAAAAAAAGAGGTCGATACTTTCAACGCTAACAACCGATGGAAAAAGAGAGGATTGGGTCTGTCCGTGATGAACTTCCCAGTCATCTATATTGGACAATTTCCGGCCACAGTTACTATTTATCATGTGGATGGAACTGTTGTGGTTACTCATGGAGGAATAGAAATGGGGCAGGGTAAGTTCAAAGGTTTTCCCAAGATATTCTTAGGTATTAATATAAATTTTATATTTTTAGGAATGAACACCAAGATAGCTCAAGTGGCGGCCTATACCCTAGGAATCGATTTGAGCTACGTCAAAGTGGAGTCCTCGGATACCATCAATGGAGCAAACTCGATGGTCACTGGTTATGCCATCGGCAGTGAAAGTGTTTGTTATGCAGTCCGTAAGATCTGTGAGACTCTCAATGCTCGCTTGAAGCCAGTAAGGAAGGCCAAGGCCAGTTGGGTGGAGACCGTGGAGGCTGCCAATGCCCAGCTAATCAACCTGATTGCCTCGGATCACTACAAAACTGGAGATATGCAGAACTATCATGTGCTGGGTCTGGCTCTCTCTGAAGTGGAGATGGACGTGCTAACTGGAAATATTTTGATCAAGCGGGTGGACATTCTAGAAGATGCTGGCGAGAGTCTGAGTCCATGGATAGATGTTGGTCAGGTGGAGGGTGCCTTTGTGATGGGTCTGGGCTACTGGCTCAGCGAACTGCTCATCTACGAGGGCGACAATGGTCGTCTGCTGACCAACCGCACCTGGAACTACAAGCCGTTGGGAGCTAAGGATATTCCTATTGACTTCCGCGTGGAACTTGTTCACAATCCAAGACCAAGTGGTTCGGGATTCATGGGTTCAAAAGCCACTGGGGAGCCACCTTGCTGTTTGGCTGTGAGTGTTATATTCGCTCTACAGCAGGCCCTGCAATCAGCTCGCCAAGATGCAGGGCTTCCTAGGGAGTGGCTTCGCCTGGGAGCTCCTACAACCCCGGAGACGCTCTTGCTTAATGCCGGTCACCAAGTCGCGGAATTTAAATTGAAATGATAATGTTTATTACTTTTGAAAGAATAATATAATATAACCAACGATACAAAATAAAATATTCTATTATCCCTTCAATAAATTGGAATACAACCAACTTACAAAAGCGTTTGTCCATCAGATTTTTTTAAAAATAATCTATTGACTATCATTTAATAAAATAAACAAAGGAACACTTTTTGTGTGATATGATATGACCTCTCCCTTTCTCTAGCTCTTTTAGTCGTTTTGTACATATTTTTATTAATTTTATTCAGCAAAGCTACAAAAGCTTGATTTTCTAGTTTTTGTTTGAAGTTATTTCACTGGCAAAAGCTTTTAATATTATTTATTTATTTGTTTTAAAAGCTGCGAGCGTCGATAATTTCCAATGAGAATCAGAGAGAGAAAAAATGTGTTTTTTTGCCGGCCGGCTAACTTATTCTCTTTTTTAACTCGCACTCTCTTTTATTTTTAGTGTACACGTGATTCGTTCTGGCTCTTTGTTATCGTTTTTATGGTGTTTGGCGCAAATTAAAAGCAGATTAGCAAGTCTGCCTATTTTGAATAGTTAGTTGTTATTAAAATAGCAGACAAAGCGAAGAGTACAATATGAAAGCATTGAATTAAATTATCCGCCAATGCAATCAAAATATATTCTCTATTCAAACAAAGCCCCTTACTCAACATTCTAGTCTTCTCATGAAGCTGAAATACAAGGAATTCAAGTCATATCAATACCCTTTCTTGAACTTCTGATACTTCTTCGTGTTCGTCTTCTATTATAAAATTCCACCAAAAATGTTTTCTGCTATCTTCGAGTCATCATCTCAATAAATCTTACAGCTCTTATGCGCTCACTTTTAGCAAATCCCCTTAAATTTTCATGGCTTAGGTCCCTAAGTCAATAGGGTATCCACAGCTCTCTTATGCCTAAACTATGCCCCCTTGGTTCTCCTTAATTTTTTGAGCTATTTTCGGAATATCGTGACTACTATCCAGCTGCCGAAAATCGGCCGACGAATTGGGTGGCAAAGCAACAAGCAAAATTCGGTGCCGGCAGTTTTTTTATTATTTATTTCTACTTTTTTTCAGTCGAGGAGCGAGCAACCAGTCTACAAACTGCAATTAACATCGATCGTCAAGCTCGAAAATGAACTCGAATCGTCGTTAGCTCTCACGGCGTGTGCATGTGTGTGGAAACTAACTTTTGTTTGTTTACGGCAGCCGAGAAAATCGCAATCTAAAAAACGTAGAAACGATTTCAAGACGGTTTTTAGCGATCAGTTGAGCAACGACACTCGCAGCGACCGGAGCTAAGCACAAGAAAAGTGAGCAGCAAAGGAAAAATAATGGAAAACCTCTCGAAAGTCACAACTAATTGAATTATTTATAGAAAACGCTTCAGCAGCTGACATTTAAGTTTTTGTTGCCCTGTTATTGTTGATAAAACTAGCAGAATGACTACAAAATTCACAATCAACGGGCTGCCGTATGCAGGTGAGTTGAAGTAATCAAGGTTTTCATCGATTCTTCTTTAATTTTTAAGTAAGTTAGTTTAGTTATTATTTTCAAATTATAGTTAAGGTGCACACACCCCTAGAAATGACTTTAAAGTGGGTGGCTATTACGCGACGCGTCTGCCCATAAACTAAGCATATCATTAGTTTCGCTAGCTCCTCGAAAATAATGGGCATTGCAGCTCGCTGGAATAACGTTAAACAGCATTACATATATTTTGGTTAACAAATTATATTGCAAATCGTATGCCCATTGTTTATGGTTTGTTCGCAAGCTCACATACCGGTTTTTAAAATTATTTATATTATATTTACTTCATAATGCGAAGCTTTTGATTTGTCATTTATTCCCCAGTAAACCTAACTAATCTTCCGCCGGATATTACCCTGAACACCTTCATCCGGGAGCATGCCCAACTTACGGCCACCAAATTTATGTGTCAGGAGGGAGGATGTGGCGCCTGCATTTGCGTGGTTCGCGATGGAAAGCGCAGCTGGGCTGTCAATTCGGTTTGAATAAATCCAATCTATGTAACCCAATCGATCGCTAATGATTCATCTTTTAGTGCCTAACTCTGCTGAATACCTGTGCCCAGCTGGAGATCATTACCGCCGAGGGATTGGGTAATCAGCGTACCGGCTACAATCCCATCCAGAAGCGACTGGCCAAGATGAATGGCACCCAGTGCGGCTTCTGTTCACCCGGATTCGTGATGAATATGTACGGGCTGATGGAGCAGAACGGTGGCAGAGTGACTATGGAGGAGGTGGAGAATTCATTTGGTGGAAACATCTGCCGCTGCACCGGCTATCGTCCCATTCTGGATGCCATGAAGTCCTTTGCCGTGGACAGCAACATTGGTATTCCACCCGAGTGTGCGGATATCGAGGATCTAAAAGCAAGGAACTGCCCGAAGACGGGTCTAGCCTGCAGTGGCAGCTGTCATCCAACCACTTTGGTCTATGAAGATGGAGTTCAGTGGCACTGGCCGAAGAATCTGACTGAACTTTTTGAGGCCCTGGACAAGGTCAAGGATTCCGAAGAGTTCATGCTGGTGGGTGGTAATACAGCTCATGGTGTCTATCGCAGATCGACCGATATCAAGCATTTTATCGGTGTGCACGGAGTGGAGGAACTGCATCAGCACAGCTCTGAGGGTCAGCAATTGAAGTTGGGAGCTAATCTCAGCCTCACCCAGACCATGGAAATCATTCGCACTACTTCTAAGCAGCCTGGGTTTGAGTATTTGGACGTTCTGTGGAGTCATATCGACCTGATTGCTAATGTTCCAGTGCGAAATGTATATTTATATTTTTATATAAAGATATATTTTACTTTAGTTCGTTATCTTTACAGGCTGGAACCTTAGCTGGCAATATTTCCATCAAAAAACAACATCCCGAGTTTCCTTCGGATATCTTCATATCCTTCGAAGCCCTAAATGTTAAGGTCCTAACATTGAAAAACGCTACCGAAGAGAAGGAAATGTCCCTATCAGAATATCTAAGTACCAATGACAGGAAGCTCCTGCTCAAAGCATTTATACTTCCTGCTTACCCAAAGGATAAGTACATATACGACTCCTATAAGGTTAGATAATCTTACAGAAATTCGATTAAGTTATATAACACAACCCCTCCCTTACAGATAATGCCCCGTGCCCAGAATGCCCATGCCTATGTAAACGCGGCTTTTCTCCTAGAATTGGAAACCGATTCCAAGGTGAAGTCGGCTCGTATATGCTTCGGTGGAATTCGTCCAGACTTTGTCCACGCCTCAGTTATCGAGCAGTTGCTAGTGGGACAGAATCCCTATGAAACAAATCTGGTGGAGCAGACATTCACCAAACTGAAGGACCTGATTAAGCCGGATGAAGTGCTGCCGGACGCCAGTCCAGAATACCGCACCAAGCTAGCATGTGGACTGCTTTACAAGTTCCTTCTTAAGCATGCTCCTGAAGCTGAGGTTGGTGAGAAATATCGCAGTGGAGGTCAGATTCTACAGAGGCCACTTTCCTCCGGGTTGCAAGTTTTCCAGACACAGAAAAAGAACTACCCGATCACCCAGGCGGTAGAAAAAGTAGAGGGCATGATCCAATGCTCAGGAGAGGCCACCTACATGAACGATGTCCTGACCACAACCAACAGTTTGCACTGCGCCTTTGTAGGAGCTACCAAGGTGGGAGCCACCATTGATCAGATCGATGCTTCGGAAGCTCTCAAGGAACCCGGAGTGGTGGCATTTTATAGTGCTAATGATATTCCCGGAACGAATACCTTCTGTGAGCCCAGTTTTGGCTACGAGGCAGAGGAGATCTTCTGCTCGGGATTGGTGCGCCACTCCGAGCAGCCAGCGGGAGTAATAGTGGCTCTAACTGCTGACCAAGCTCAACGTGCTGTAAAACTGGTGAAGATCAGCTACAGCAATCCCAGTTCTGACTTTAAGTTGCTTCCCAGTTTAGGAGATGTATTTGCATCGGAGACTCCTGATTCCTCACGCATTCTGCCTGTCACGAAATCAGACAAAAAGATAAAATTCTCGGATCAGCCTGATAAGGATGTGAGGGGCATCTTCCAAATGGGTCTACAGTATCACTTCACCATGGAGCCCCAGACTACTGTGGCAATTCCTTTTGAGGATGGACTTAAAATATTCTCGTCTACCCAATGGATGGATCACACTCAAGCTGTGATTGCCCACATGCTCCAGGTGAAGGCGAAAGATGTCCAGCTACAGGTAAGTGGCATGAGAAATTGATAAGGGAACTTTATTAAAATCCACTCCCCATTCCAGGTCCGCAGATTGGGAGGTGGCTATGGATCAAAGATATCCCGTGGTAACCAGGTGGCCTGTGCTGCTTCACTGGCGGCTTACAAGCTAAATCGACCCGTCCGATTCGTCCAATCACTGGAATCTATGATGGATTGTAATGGAAAGAGATGGGCCTGTCGCTCCGACTATCAGTGCCATGTAAAGTCTAATGGCAAGGTTGTGGGCTTGAATAACGAATTCTATGAGGATGCTGGCTGGAGCCCCAATGAAAGTCCCATTGAGGGTCACTCAAACTTTACGGCTAAAAATTGCTACGACTTCACCGGGGATAACTTCAGGAACAACGGCAATGCTGTTTTAACAGATGCCCCCAGCTCCACCTGGTGCCGTGCCCCGGGATCTGTGGAGGGTATTGCCATGATGGAGAACATCATAGAGCATGTGGCATTTGAGGTCCAGAAAGATCCTGCTGAAGTTCGTCTGGCCAACATATCATCGACCAATAAGATATCCGAGTTACTTCCCCAATTCCTTGAGTCCAGGGAGTACGCAAAGAGAAAGCAGGAGATTGAAACCCATAATTCCAAGAATCGCTGGACGAAACGGGGCCTTGGACTGGCGGTGATGGACTATCCAATTTTCTATTTTGGACAGTACCCGGCTACGGTGGCCATTTATCATGTGGATGGCACTGTTGTGGTTACCCATGGAGGCATTGAAATGGGACAGGGTGAGTGAAGGGTCTATTTCCGATTTAGTTTCATTGATTTTCTCATAATTTATTTATAGGTATGAACACAAAGGTGGCTCAGGTGGCTGCCTACACTCTGGGAATCGATTTGAGCTTTATCAAGGTGGAATCCTCTGATACCATCAATGGCGCGAACTCCATGGTCACCGGAGGAGCTGTGGGCAGTGAGAGTCTATGCTATGCAGTTCGCAAGGCATGCGAAACCTTGAACTCTCGTTTGCAGCCGGTGAAAAAGCAAGATGCCAGTTGGTTGGAGACCGTTGGAGCAGCCTTTGCCAAATCCATCAATCTGATCGCCTCGGATCACTACAAGGAGGGCGACATGCAGAACTATCATATCTACGGCCTGGCCCTAACCGAAGTGGAGTTGGACGTGCTCACTGGCAATAGTCAGGTTAAACGTGTGGATATCCTGGAGGATGCTGGAGAGAGTTTGAGCCCCTACATAGACATTGGACAGATTGAGGGCGCCTTTGTCATGTGTCTGGGTTACTGGATGACTGAGCAGTTGGTTTACGATCGCGAAACTGGTCGCCTGCTAACAAACCGCACCTGGAACTACAAGCCGCCGGGTGCCAAGGATATTCCCATCGATTTCCGTATCGAACTTATCCAGAAACCCAATCCGTCTGGAGCAGGATTCATGCGATCAAAGGCCACTGGAGAACCACCCTGCTGTTTGGCTGTGAGTGTGGTTTTCGCTCTACGACAGGCCTTGGATTCCGCCCGCCAGGATGCGGGACTGCCCCGAGAGTGGGTGCGCCTGGGAGCTCCCACTACTCCGGAAATTCTGGTGGTCAATGCAGGTCACGATGCTTCGAGCTTTAAACTTAAGTAATTTGTATGTTTTTTTTGTGGTGTATTTTTTTATACATATTTTTCAAATATATTCTTATCTTTACCTGAGTAGATTTTTTACCCCTTTCGCCTGTAAAATCTGTATTAGTCAGTTAAAAGACAAATCAAAAAGATACAAGAATCTCGGAGAATGCACGATTTCGCTCAGTGTTTGCTTTAGATGGTACTGGACTCTGCTCGAACCCGTTTAGCCCAATTAACGGGTAATCAGGTTTTAGCAGCGCTTTAAGTAAGAACGCCTTGGCAAAAGAACTGCATTCGACCGACGACTCTGCAGCGATGAGCATCAAGTTTAATGTGAATGGCTTTCCGTACGAGGTGCATGCGGCTGACTATGCTCCGGACACCACCCTCAACACCTTTCTAAGGGAACACCTGCACCTGACGGCCACCAAGTACATGTGCCTGGAGGGGGGCTGTGGCTCCTGTGTCTGCGTCATTCGCAAGCGACACCCAGTCACCCAGGAGGTTCAATCTCGGGCAGCCAACTCGGTAAGATGTCGCTTTTGGGGGAGTGACTTTCTACACACACAAAAATTCTTCTTAAATAAAAAGATTTATACCTTTGCAATCCGCAGTGCCTAACACTTTTGAACACTTGTGACGATGTGGAGATCATGACGGATGAGGGATTGGGCAACCAGCTGAGTGGGTACCATCCCATTCAGAAGCGGCTGGCCCAGATGAATGGCACCCAATGTGGCTACTGTTCCCCTGGATTTGTAATGAACATGTACGGTTTTCTAGAGCAGTATCGCGGACAGGTGAGCATGTCTCAGGTGGAGGATGCCTTCGGCGGAAACCTTTGTCGCTGTACCGGCTATCGATCTATTCTGGATGCCATGAAGTCCTTCGCGGTAGATAGTAATATAGAGGTGCCCCCGGAATGTGTGGACATTGAAGACTCCTTCGAGCTGCTCTGTCCACGGACTGGACAATCCTGCAAGGGCAGCTGCTCGAGACCACCTCTGAGGGATCAAGATGGCAGTCACTGGTATTGGCCGAAGTCGATGGCGGAGCTGTTCTCAACCCTGAGCCAGGTGCCAAATGGAGATCTCTACATGCTGGTGGCAGGGAACACAGCTCATGGAGTTTACCGACGACCCAGGGAGATCCGACACTTTATCGACGTGACAATGGTGCCAGAGTTGAGGCAGTATAGCATCGAGGCCGATCACCTGCAGCTGGGTGGAAATGTAACTCTCACGGATGCTATGCAGGTTTTCCTGCTGGCCGCCAAGAGGCCTGGATTCGAGTATTGTGCCCAGTTGTGGCAGCATTTCAACTTGATTGCCAATGTTCCAGTGCGAAATGTGAGTAGAGCACGCCATAAATCCACAAACTCGTTTTGACGCTGGACAAGGACCAAGATTTGCAAAAATATTGGTAGTCTTCGCAGCAAATACCCTTTTTTTAAAGACATTTTTTACTTCTACGAAATGTTGCCAATAATTTATGGATATTTGTAGTTCATTTATTTATAAAATATGTTCAATACTTTTTGAAGTTTTAACTCCTTTAATTCTATGTTATTGTTATTTTAATTTCAAGTCTTCTATTTAAGCTAAGCAACTCCAAAAGCGCAGAAAAACTCATCTTAGTTTCCAACAAAGTAAATCAATTTCAGTAGCTGAAGACACTGGAAAAAAAGTAGTGTAATATTAATAATTAAGAGAAAGAAAGAGAAGAAAAACTCTACCAGAATTTTTGATAAATGAATATTCTAAAGTAATTATTATTTTAAATCTTTCAACAGAATGGCACCCTGGCAGGTAACATTACCATCAAGAAGCAGCACTTTGAGTTTCCCTCTGATGTGTTCATCACATTTGAGGCATTGGATGTCCATGTCTTGGTTTATGACAATCCTAGTAGCCAAAGGGTGATGAACCTGCTGTCGTATCTCAGCGATACAACCTCCAAATTGGTACTGGGTGGTTTTATTCTGAAAGCCTATCCGAAGGACAGATACCTCTTTAGGTCTTATAAGGTAAATGAATAGATTCTTTGACTGAAATTTAGTAATATTATTCGAATAACAGATCATGGCAAGAGCTCAGAATGTTCATGCTTATGTGAATGCGGGATTCCTCATCGAATGGCAGGGTATTCAGCGCAGGATTGTGAAATCTGCTCGCATATGTTTCGGAAACATCAGACCAGATTATATTCATGATGAGCAAGTGGAGAACTTCCTTCCTGGCAAAGATCTCTATGACCCGGCTACAGTTGCACAGATCTTTCAGCAGCTACCAGCAAGCCTGAAACCGGAGGAGCGGCCCCCAGAAGCCTCTCCAGAATATCGTCAAATGCTGGCCTGTTCCTTGCTCTATAAGTTCCTCCTAGCCACCGCACCAAGGGAGCGAGTTCGGGAGCGTTATCGCACAGGAGGTTTGCTTTTGGAGAGACCCCTTTCTTCAGGAAGTCAATCCTTCGAGACGATTAAGAAGAACTATCCGGTCACGCAACCAGTACAGAAGCTAGAAGGTATGTTAAGTATTTTAACATTTACTTTTATTTAAATATTTATATTTTTAAGGACTCATACAATGCTCTGGCGAGGCCACATATATGAACGATCTGCTGACCACCTCGAATGCGGTTTATTGTGCCTTTGTGACCGCCAAGAAAGTTGGAGCTACCATCGAGCAGATCGATGCTTCAGCTGCCCTTCAGTGCAAGGGAGTGGTGGCCTTCTATTCAGCCAAGGACATACCAGGATCCAACAACTTTGTTGTAATGGGTCAGCTCACTCCCGATGTGGATGAGATCTTTGCTGCTGGACAAGTCAAGTACTTTGATCAGCCTTTGGGAGTGATCGCTGCTCTCACCCACGATACAGCTGTCTATGCCGCCACGTTGGTGGTGGTCACATACTCCAGGGATCAGCGAAAGATCTACACGACTATGAATCAAGTGCTGGAAGGAAAGCAAACCGATAGGATTGTGACCTTAAAAAAGGAAGCAGTTGAGCCCCTGAAGTTACCTCCTCTTGCCCCTGGTGATGTCCTTGGAAGGGGGATTCTAGAATTGGAATCGCAATACCATTTCACCATGGAACCCCAAACGACAATAGTCGTGCCTTTGGATAACATCCTGCAGGTATACTGCGCCAGCCAGTGGATGGATACCACCCAAGGAGCAATCGCCCACATGCTGCGGGTGAGTCTGAACTCCATTCAGCTCCAAGTTCGAAGAGTGGGTGGAGCTTATGGCGCCAAGGTCACAAGGTGCAATATAGTGGCCTGTGCTGCCGCCTTGGTGGCTTCTAAGCTAAGAAGACCTGCCAGATTTGTGCAGACCATAGAATCGATGATGGAGACTCTTGGAAAGCGCTGGGCCTGCAGATCGGACTATGAGTTTCGAGCCCGCGCCAATGGATCGATTATAATGCTGACCAACAATTACTATGAAGATGCCGGGTGTAATCTAAATGAGAACGTAGTTGATTTATTTACTCTGCCAATCCTGAGAAATGTGTACAACCTAAACGACTCGAACTACAAGACTCGAGGCAGTGCCATCAGAACAGATGCGCCCAGCTCGACTTGGTGTCGTGCCCCTGGTTCAGCGGAGGGTGAATAGTAAAATATTTCGTTTGGAATAAAATTTGAAAATTAAAGTTTATTTTTCCATACACAGGAATCGCCATGACGGAGACCGCCCTGGAGCACATAGCCTTTACATGTCAGCTAGATCCTGCCGATGTTCGCTTGGTTAATCTACAGACGGGATCAAAAATGGTTCAGCTGCTGCCAAAGTTTATCGCCTCCACAGAGTACCGTAAACGGCGGGAGCAGATAAACTTATTCAATGCCCAGAACCGATGGCGGAAACGAGGCCTGGGAATGGCTCTTATGAGTTACCCCTTGAACACGTCTCTGGGCTATAGCTATCCCGTCACGGTGGCTATTTACCATGAGGACGGATCGGTGGTGATATCACATGGAGGTATAGAGATTGGTCAGGGAGTGAACACCAAGGCAGCACAGGTTGCTGCGTTCGTTTTAGGGGTTCCTCTGGATCAAGTACGAGTGGAGGCGAGCAACACAGTCAGTGGAGCCAATGCTATGTTCACGGCCAACTCGATGACGAGCGAAATGGTCGGACTGGCAGTGCGAAAGGCCTGCGACAAACTGAATCAGCGACTGGCGCCGGTGAAGGAAAGCCTCGGACCTCAGGCCACTTGGGTGGAGGTGCTCCAAGCAGCCTACTTACAATCCGTCTTCCTTGTCGCCACGGAATCGTACAAGGTGGGGGATATTCCAACCTACAACATCTACGGGCTGAGTCTCACGGAAATTGAATTGGACATTCTGACGGGCAACCATCTAATCCGCCGTGTGGACATCTTGGAGGATGCCGGAGAAAGCCTAAGTCCAAATATCGATGTGGGTCAAGTGGAGGGAGCCTTTGTTATGGGTCTGGGTTACTATCTCACCGAGCAGCTGGTCTACGACCGCCAGACAGGACAGATCCTAACGAACCGCACCTGGAACTACAATCCACCCGGGGCAAAGGATATACCAATAGATTTCCGTATCGAGTTGCTACAGAAGAGTCCTAATCCTGTGGGCTTTATGCGATCAAAGGCTACTGGGGAGCCTGCTTTGTGCTTGGCTGTTGGAGCTCTGTTCGCCATGCAGCATGCGATACAGTCGGCTAGGAAAGATGCTGGACTTCCAAGGGAGTGGGTACGATTGGGAGCACCTACCACGCCGGAGACAGTTGTTCTGAACTCCGGCACCCAGGTTGAGGCCTTCACCTTGCAATAATTCGAAACTTATGTTTTCGATTCTACTTTCCATAAGATTTTGTTCAGATTTTCTTGATATTTTGTATGGTTTATTTCGGTATTTCTATTATTTTATCTTTAAAATTTTGTATTCAAATTATTTACATATCTTGTTATCATATCAAACTTTGATTTCCTATTAAAGAAAGTAAACTTCATCTTATTCTTACTTATTTACTTCTCTTTTACCTTGGAAATGTGCTAAATGGATGTTGTTCTAAACTTACCCGCATTGAAATACAAACATCATTTGCAGGGCCACTCCTTAATAGTAATATCATTTCGTAGTATTAGATATTTAGTTAATAGATGGATGTGATATTATTTCGTAAACATAACTCTCACTTTCACTTGAAACACATTTATTAACTTCACCGATTTGATTTACAACTTAGAACGAATGAAAGAGCTTTCGGCTCTTTCCAGTTACAGTTTCGGTATACCTCGTTCGTGCTCATTTCCAATCATAATTAAAATATTTGTTTGTTTAGAAAACTGACCAAAACAAAACCGTCTAAACAAACGGTTTGCTGATAAAGCTTTCCGATGCGAGATGTGAGATGTGAGATAATAATATGACTCAATAGAGATATGGTAAATTTTTTATTGTATAAATGTAAAATTTTGTTTAACAAAGCTAAATTAAATTTAAGTAAAGCGATTTATTGGGCAATTATTAAAAGTTTTCTCAAGAAAATTTTAAATTGATAGACTTAAAGCAGATTTACAGTTTGCTTAAAATTTATGATTTTTTTTTCATATGTATATTTAACTTAGCCGTCTTATAAATCTTTTACATCACTAAGAATATATCTACGCCTGACTGTAAGTTCTTTGAGTCATTTAAAGATGTAAAATTTTAAATTTGGTTTATACTGATGTTGGAATGTGGAATATGGAATGTCATATCTCGTAGAGCTCGTTATTTGATTCCCAAGATTGGCATTTGATGTGCATCTGGGATAGGGGCGGTAAGTGTTGGTCGTTAACAGCACAAAACAGTCGTTCTTTTGGAGGAAATTGTATTCAATCAGAACTTGCACCAACAAAAAAGAGACGTCAAAAAATAATGCCTCTCAGCTGTCAAAAGACGTATACTTGATTTTGTGCCCAAAGAATCTGTTTTTTTGCCATAGCACAACCAAAAATGATCCAAATACAGAATGTAATACATTGTAGAGCTTGTAATTTGATTGCTATGATTCTCAATTGGTTTGCATTCAAATCTGGAAAACTTCATTTTTGAGCCTTTTTTGAAAATTTTGATGATGGTACCCCTTATCAAAAATGCGAAATTTGGGCAAAAATTTATTTTCTCAAAATCAAAAAACGTGGGACAGGGGTGGTAAGTGTTGGTCATTAGCAGCACAAAACAGTCGTTCTTTTGGCTGTGCGTCTTGTTTTGACCGAGCTAGAGCTAAAAATCCGAAAATAATAATGCAAATTTCTGTCAAGAATAGGTTTTTTGACTTTTTAACCATTAAATCAGCACTGGCCCCAACAAAATCAGAACAATACTGTAAAAAGTAGGTATAGGGGCTTAAAGTTTTGGTTGTTAGCTGCATAAAACAGTCATTGTTTTAGCCTTGCGTCTTGTTTTGATAAAGTTAGAGCTAAAATTTCAATTTTTTGCCAATTTTTGATGATGGTACCTAAAAATGCAAAAATTGGCCAAAAATTGTTTTTCAACAGTCAAATAGGTCGTTAATCGTTAGCTGCCCAAACTGTCTAAATTTTGACTGTAAACCTTGATTTGACCATGTTATGGGCTCACAAACCGAAACAAAATAAAGCGAATATTAAAAAAAAATATTTTGATTTTTATAGTTTAAAAAAATTAGTTTTTTCCTCCTAATAAGCCTGAAAATTGTCCAAATATGGAATTTTATATCTCGTTGGGCTCGTAATTTGATTGCTTTGATTCCCAATTGATTTGCATTCAAATCTCGGACATTTTAATTTTTCCCATTTTTCGGCAATTTTGATGATGGTACCCCTTATCAAAAATGCGAAATTTGGGCAAAAATTTATTTTCTCAAAATCAAAAAACGTGGGATAGGGGTGGTCAGTGTTGGACGTTAGCAGCACAAAACAGTCGTTTTTATGGCTGTGCGTCTTGTTTTGACCGAACTAGAGCTAAAAAGCAGCAACTACTATTGCAAATTTCTGTCAAGAATAGGTTTCCTGATTTTTCAGCCATTAAATCGCAGCTCGCACCAAAATAACAGAGCAATAATAATAAAACAAAGTATAGGGGTTTTAAGTTTCGGTAGTCACCTGCATGAAACACTCATCTTTGTAGCCATGCGTTTTGTTTTGACAAAGTTAAAGCCAAGAAATTGCAAAAAAAAACAAATTTCTGCAGTCAAAAGTCGTATACTTGATTTTAGTCCTAAAAAATCAGTTTTTTTGCCATAGCCCAGTCAAAAATGGTCTAAATATGGAATTTTATATCTCATAGGGCTCGTAATTTGATTCCTATGATTCCCAATCGAGTTGCATTCAAATCTGGGACATTTCAATTTTTTCCATTTTTCGCAAATTTTGATGATGGTACCCCTTGCAAAAATTGCAAAAATTGGCCAAAAATTGTTTTTCCAATTTCAGACTGACAGTCAAACAGGTCGTTAGTTGGGGTCGTTAGCTGCCCAAAACTGTCTTTATTGTGGCTGTAAGCCTTGTTTTGACCATGTTATGGGCTAGAAACCGAAACAAAATATTAGAATATTGTAAAAAAATGTATTTTAATTTTTATAGTTTAAAAAAATGAGTATTTTCCTCCTAGTAAGCCTGAAAATGGTCCAAATGTGGAATGTTATACCTCATTGAGCTTGAAATTCAATCTATTTTAACTTTTAATAGGTCTGCAGCCAAAAATGAAAAATTTAATTTTTGGTCATTTTTGCAAAAAAAGACGATGGTACCCCTTATCAAAAATGCGAAATTTGGGCAAAAATTTATTTTCTCAAAGTCGAAAAACGTGGGATAGGGGTGGTAAGTGTAGGTCATTAGCAGCACAAAACAGTCGTTCTTATGGCTGTGCGTCTTGTTTTGACCGAGCTAGAGCTAAAAAGCCGAAAATAATAATGCAAATTTCTGTCAAGAATAGGTTTTTTGACTTTTGAACCATTACTCGCCCCAACAAAATCAGAAAAATACTTTAAAAAGTAGGTATAGAGGCTTAACGTTTTGGTTGTTAGCTGCATAAAACAGTCATTGATTTAACCTTGCGTCTTGTTTTGACAAAGTTAGAGCTAAAAATTGCAAAAAACGTGGGATAGGGATGGTAATTGTTGGTCGTTAGCAGCACAAAACAGTCCGTATTTTGGCTGTGAGTCTTGTTTTGACCAAGATAGAGCTGAAAACCCGAAAGTAGTATTGCAATTTTCTGTAGAAAATAGGGTTCTTAATTTTTAGCAATTAAATCGAAGCTCTCACCAAAAAATCAGAACAATAATGATGAAAGCAAGCATAGGGGCTAAAAGTTTTGGTTGTCAGCTGCATAAAACAGTCACTGCTTTAGCCTTGCGTCTTGTTTTGATAAACTTAGAGTTAAGAAAATTAAAAAAATCATGGCTTTTATCGACTGGATTTTTGTCCACAGCTAAAATCGAACAAAGGAAGTGTTGATTTGAAATTGAGGTCTGCTTAAATCCCATGCTACTCTTCGGTATCCATAAATATAATATTATGGTTATCAGATTTATCAGCAGCAATCCAAAAAAAGAAGAAAACAAAAGCAGAGCAGTACCTAGTCCCTATTGCCGATGAATTAGAACTGGAAGTGATTACAACTGGGCAGTATCTCCGTGTGAGTGCTTCATAAGTCTGATGAAGTTTCCGGATTCCAGCGCTTGAATTTCCTGCTGGCCGAAATCCAGTCATGGTATAGTAGGCATCGTCATCAAAAGTCCAGACAGATCGAGGGCTCCTTTTGTCATGTGTCTGGGTTACTGGATGACTGAGCAGTTGGCTTACCAACGGCGTCTGGAACCATTTTATCCAGAAACCCAATCCCTCTGATCATGCGATCAAAGGCCACTAGCGAACCACCCTGTTGTCTGGCTGTGACTGTGTTTTTTGCTCTACCACAGGCCCTGGATTCTGCCCGCCAGGATGCGGCACTGCCCCGAGAGTGGGTGCGCCTGGGAGCTCCACTACTCCGGAAATTCTGGTGGTCGATGCAGGTCACGATGCTTCGAGCTTTATCTAACTTAAGTAATTTGTAAGTTTTTTTTATATATTTTATACATATTTGTTGTGAATTTTTTATACATATTTTTCAACTATATTCTTATCTTTACCTGAGTAAAATCTTGAGATTTTCTTTTGCATTCAAGTATTGCTGCGATATACAAGTTTAAAGAATGTGCTTATCACTTAATGGATAAAGAAATCAAAACGATAAATCTGATCATGGGTATATTCAAACGTGCTTTAAGTAGTAGCTCATTCATATTATTTAAGAAAAAATGTTGCATTACAAAATATGAAAATATTAGTTTGGTGCTTTCGATTCTTTACCACAAAAAAGGTTATCATGTAAGAATCTGTGGGAATCAAATCATGTAAGAACCTTAGGAATATTTTTGAGATTTTTTACCCCTTATCGCTATGTATAAGTCAGCCAAAATACTAGTCAAAAAAATAAATGAATCTCGCAGAGTGCACAATTTTGCTCAGTGTTTGCTTTAGATGACACTTTAATCTGCTCGAACCCGTTTACCCTAATTAACAGGTAATCAGGTTTTAGCAACGCTTTGAAATAGAAACGCCTAGCCAAAACAGCTCCATTCGACCGACGACTCTGCAGCGATGAGCATCAAGTTCAATGTGAATGGCTTTCCGTACGAGGTGCAGGCGGCTGACTATGCTCCAGACACCACCCTCAACACCTTTCTACGGGAACACCTGCATCTGACGGCCACCAAGTACATGTGCTTGGAGGGGGGCTGTGGCTCCTGTGTCTGTGTCATTCGCAAGCGACACCCAGTCACCCAGGAGGTTCAATCTCGGGCAGCCAACTCGGTAAGATGTCGCTATTGGGGGAGTGGCTTTCTACACACACAAAAAATCTTCTTAAATAAAAAGATTTATACCTTTGCAATCCGCAGTGCCTAACACTTTTGAACACTTGTGACGATGTGGAGATCATGACGGATGAGGGATTGGGCAACCAGCTGAGTGGGTACCATCCCATTCAGAAGCGGCTGGCCCAGTTGAATGGCACCCAATGTGGCTACTGTTCCCCAGGATTTGTAATGAACATGTACGGTTTTCTAGAGCAGTATCGCGGACAGGTGAGCATGTCTCAGGTGGAGGATGCCTTCGGCGGAAACCTTTGTCGCTGTACCGGCTATCGACCTATTCTGGATGCCATGAAGTCATTCGCGGTGGATAGTAATATAGAGGTGCCCCCTGAATGTGTGGACATTGAAGACTCCTTCGAGCTGCTTTGTCCGCGGACTGGACAATCCTGCAAGGGCAGCTGCTCGAGACCACCTCTGAGGGATCAAGATGGCAGTCACTGGTACTGGCCGAAGTCGATGGCGGAGCTGTTCTCAGCCCTGAGCCAGGTGGCAAGTGGTGATCTCTACATGCTTGTGGCAGGGAACACAGCCCATGGAGTTTACCGACGACCCAGAGATATCCGACACTTTATCGACGTGACAATGGTGCCAGAGTTGAGGCAGTATAGCATCGAGGCGGATCACCTTCTGCTGGGTGGAAACGTAACTCTCACGGATGCCATGCAGGTTTTCCTGCTGGCCGCCAAGAGGCCTGGATTCGAGTATTGTGCCCAGTTGTGGCAGCATTTCAACTTGATTGCTAATGTTCCAGTGCGAAATGTGAGTAGAGCAAACCATAAATCTACAAACTCGTTTTGGCGCTTGACAAAGACCAAGATTTGCGAAAATATTGGTAGTCTAAGCAGCAAATGCTCTTTCTTTTAATACATTTCGTGACTTCTACGAAATGTTGCAATAATTGAAGTGTTTTATAGTTTACTATATATTTAAAAAAGGTGTTCAATAATTTATAAAGTTTTTATTCATTTAACTTTATGTTATTGTGATTTCAATCTCAAGCTTTCTATTTCAGCTAAGCAACTCCAAAAGCCCAGAAAAGTTTTCGCTTAAAAACTCACTTTACTTTCTAAGCAAAGTAGTAAATCAATTTAAGTAGCTGATGACACTGAGAAAAATAGTATTGTAATATTATAATTTAGTAAAGTCATAGCAAAACTCTTTGCTAAATTTATTTTAAATTTATATTCTAAATTAATTATTATTTTAAATAATTTAATAGAATGGCACCCTGGCAGGTAACATTACCATCAAGAAGCAGCACTTTGAGTTTCCCTCCGATGTGTTCATCACATTTGAGGCATTGGATGTCCATGTCGTGGTTTATGACAATCCTAGTAGCCAAAGGGTGATGAACCTGCTGTCGTATCTCAGCGATACAACCTCCAAGTTGGTACTGGGTGGTTTTATCCTGAAAGCCTATCCGAAGGACAGATACCTCTTTAGGTCTTATAAGGTAACTAAATAGATTCTTTGACTGAAATGTGGTAATATTATTCGAATACCAGATCTTGCCAAGAGCCCAGAATGTTCACGCCTATGTAAATGCGGGATTCCTCATCGAATGGCAGGATATTCAGCGCAGGATTGTGAATTCAGCACGCATTTGTTTCGGAAACATCAGACCAGATTATATTCATGATGAGCTAGTGGAGAGTTTCCTCCCTGGCAGGGATCTCTATGACCCAGCTACAGTTGCACAGATCTTTCAGCAGCTACCAGCAAGCCTCCAACCCGAGGAGCGGCCCCCAGAAGCCTCTCCAGAATATCGTCAAATGCTGGCCTGCTCCTTGCTCTATAAGTTCCTCCTAGCCACCGCACCAAGGGAGCGAGTTCGGGAGCGTTATCGCACAGGAGGTTTGCTTTTGGAGAGACCCCTTTCTTCAGGAAGTCAATCCTTCGAGACGATTAAGAAGAACTATCCGGTCACGCAACCAGTACAGAAGCTAGAAGGTATGTTAATGAATTTAACATTTACTTTTACTTAAATATTTCTATTTTTAAGGACTCATACAATGCTCTGGCGAGGCCACATATATGAACGATCTGCTGACCACCTCGAATGCGGTTCATTGTGCCTTTGTGACCGCCAAGAGAGTCGGTGCTACCATCGAGCAGATCGACGCTTCTGCAGCCCTTCAGTGCAAGGGAGTGGTGGCCTTCTATTCAGCCAAGGATATACCAGGATCCAACAACTTTGTTCTAGTGGATCAGTTTACTCCCGAAGTGGATGAGATCTTTGCTGCTGGACAGGTCAAGTACTTTGATCAGCCTTTGGGAGTGATCGCTGCTCTCACCCACGATACAGCTGTCTATGCCGCCACGTTGGTGGTGGTCACATACACCAGGGATCAGCGAAAGATCTACACGACTATGAATCAAGTGCTAGAAGAAAAGCAAACCGATAGGATAGTGACCTTGAAAAAGGAAGCAGTTGAGCCTCTGAAGTTACCTCCTCTTGCCCCTGGTGATGTCCTTGGAAGGGGGATTCTAGAATTGGAATCGCAATACCATTTCACCATGGAACCCCAAACGACAATAGTCGTGCCTTTGGATAACATCCTGCAGGTATACTGTGCCAGCCAGTGGATGGATGCCACCCAAGGAGCAATCGCCCACATGCTGCGGGTGAGTGTGAACTCCATTCAGCTCCAAGTTCGAAGAGTGGGTGGAGCTTATGGCGCCAAGGTCACAAGGTGCAATATAGTGGCCTGCGCTGCCGCCTTGGTGGCTTCTAAGCTAAGAAGACCTGCCAGATTTGTGCAGACTATCGAATCCATGATGGAGACTCTTGGAAAGCGCTGGGCCTGCAGATCGGACTATGAGTTTCGAGCCCGCGCCAATGGATCTATCATCATGCTGACCAACAATTACTATGAGGATGCCGGCTGTAATCTAAATGAGAATGTTGTGGACTTCCTTACTCTGCCAATCCTGAGAAATGTGTACAACCTAACCGACTCGAACTACAGGACCCGAGGCAGTGCCATCAGAACAGATGCGCCCAGCTCGACTTGGTGTCGTGCTCCTGGTTCAGCGGAGGGTGAGTAGTAAAATATTTTGTTTGGAATAAAATTTGAAAATTAAAGTTTATTTTTCCAAACACAGGAATCGCCATGACGGAGACCGCCCTGGAGCACATAGCCTTTACATGTCAGCTAGATCCTGCCGATGTTCGCTTGGTTAATCTACAGCCAGGATCCAAAATGGTTCAGCTACTCCCAAAGTTCATAGCCTCCACGGAGTACCGTAAACGGCGGGAGCAGATAAACTTATTCAATGCCCAGAACCGATGGCGAAAACGAGGGCTAGGAATGGCTCTAATGAGTTTCCCGCTGAACACGACTGTGGCCTTTAACTATCCCGTCACGGTGGCTATTTACCATGAGGACGGATCGGTGGTGATATCACATGGAGGTATAGAGATTGGTCAGGGAGTGAACACCAAGGCAGCACAGGTTGCTGCGTTCGTTTTAGGGGTTCCTCTAGATCAAGTACGAGTGGAGGCCAGCAACACAGTCAGTGGAGCTAATGCCATGTTGACGGCCAACTCGATGACCAGTGAAATGATCGGACTGGCAGTGCGAAAGGCATGCGACACACTGAACCAGCGACTGGCGCCGGTGAAGGAAAGACTCGGACCTCGGGCCACTTGGGTGCAGGTGCTCCAAGCCGCCTTCTTACAATCCGTCTTCCTTGTCGCCACGGAAGCGTATAAGTTGGGGGATATTCCAAACTACAACATCTTCGGGCTGAGTCTCACGGAAATTGAACTGGACATTCTAACGGGCAACCATCTAATCCGCCGTGTGGACATCTTGGAGGATGCCGGAGAAAGCCTAAGTCCAAACATCGATGTGGGTCAAGTGGAGGGAGCCTTTGTGATGGGTCTGGGCTATTATCTCACCGAGTCGCTGGTCTACGACCGCCAGACAGGACAGATTCTAACGAACCGCACCTGGAACTATCATCCACCCGGGGCCAAGGATATACCAATAGACTTTCGTATCCAATTGCTACAGAAGAGTCCTAATCCTGTGGGCTTTATGCGATCGAAGGCTACTGGGGAGCCAGCTTTGTGCCTGGCTGTTGGAGTTCTGTTCGCCATGCAGCATGCGATACAGTCTGCTAGGAAAGATGCTGGACTTCCAAGGGAGTGGGTACGATTGGGAGCACCTACCACGCCGGAGACAGTTGTTCTGAACTCCGGCACCCAGGTTGAGGCCTTCACCTTGCAATAATTGGAAACTTTTGCGTTTGATTCTACTTTCCATTAGATTGGTTCAGATTTTCTTGATATTGTGTATGGTGTATTTCGGTTTTATAAGTATTTCTATTATTTTATCTTTAAAATTTTGTATTCAAATTATTTACATATCTTGTTATCATATCAAACTTTGATTTCGTATTAAAGAGTGCAAACTTCATCTCCCTCTTTCATTTACTTTTCCTTTACTTTGGTAATATGCTAAATTGATGTTGTTCTAAATTTACCCGCATTGAAAGGCGAACATCGTTTGTGGGGCCACTCCTTAATAGTCATTTCGTCAACATAACTCACTTGAAAATTTTGTATTAACCTCACTGGTTTGATTTACAATTTAAAATAAATGAAACTCGATAACAACGCAGTTATTTCTCTAAGAAATCCATTGATTGTGAATTTGCAGAGAGCTTTCGAATCTTTCCAGTTACAGTTTCCCTATACCTCCCTCGTACCTACTCATTTCCAATCATAATTAAAATATTTTTTTGTTTAGAAACTGAGCAAAACAAAACCGTCCAAACAAACGGTTTGCTGATAAAGCTCTCCGATGCGAGAGCGCGAGAGTAATTAGAAACGGGAGTGAGATAACATTTCAGAGTGCTATTATTATGATCTAATGCTGAATGATGAGCGGAATGGGAGAACATGGTAGTTAAGAGCGGGAGCTGGTGAACTTGAACTTGGTCACGCGAGACGCTCTTTGTGGGGAACGGAGAACGAATATATATACGGGACTCCGGCGGGCCCAAACTTACAGTCGCTCGGATATTGGCGAGGTAATCACACGAAACGGAAAAGATCGGCAATTGCCTCACATGGTGAAATAACACAGTTCCAGAACCCACTACAAATCAACATTTTTGGAAACCAGGCGTGAATTGAAGGCTAGAAAGGCTATAGTTAATTTCACAACGGCTTTCAAGTGATTCGAGGACTTATATAAGGCACAGATAATGTCTGGAACAATAACAATCAACGGCACCAGCCATGAAGGTGTGTATGGGTGTGTGGGCAGTTAATTGCCGTTGGATTGATGGGAGGGCTGTCATCTACAAGATTGTAGAGACAACGAACTGGAACACCTGAATCTAGAAATTCTACCTGTTCTACCTTGCTAGGTTAACTTCGTATTTGGAAAATTATTAAAATTAATATGACCTTGAGATTGTTTCTTCTGCTGGAAAAAGTGTATTGTGATTGTGTTTGAATTAATTATCCTAATGATAGTAAACAAGATAGTAATTTCTTCGAGCCTTGACCTTAGGTTTGTAAAGTAATATTTTGTCTCAAGAAATGGACTTTGAGCCAGCAGAATTTTGCCGATTAATCAGTAGTTTATTTATTTCAAGCGACAAAGAATGCCAGCCTTGGTCTCAGTATCCGAGACATTTGTCAATAATAAAATGTTTGTTTAAAGGGAAAAAGTAATTTCATTCCTGGTTTTATTGGCAGCTGTTATTTAATATTAATTACAAAAACTTTTCTTTTAACATATACAAGCTTTGTGAGTATTAGTTGATATAAAACTGCACCAAAGATGAACGCAATCGTTCCTTAAGATTTGGTTGATAATAAATATATTGTTCTGACAATGTTGCGACGACTCAAACTACCTGATAAGATAACACATACACTTTCTAACCACCCCTCTTTCTGCCGACCCTAGTTAATCTGGCTGCCCTGCCAGCGGATATCTCCCTGAACTCGTTTATCCGGGAGCACGCCGGTTTAACGGGCACAAAGTTCATGTGCCAGGAGGGCGGATGCGGAGTCTGCGTCTGCACTCTGACCGGACTGCATCCGGAGACCGGAGAACCACGCACCTGGGCGGTTAACTCGTGCCTAACGCTGCTGAACACCTGTTTGGGTTTGGAGGTGACCACCACAGAGGGATTGGGAAACAAACGGATCGGCTACCATGCAATCCAACAGCGACTGGCCAAGATGAACGGAACCCAGTGCGGCTACTGTTCGCCGGGAATCGTGATGAATATGTATGGCCTACTGAAATCCAAGGGCGGTAAGGTCACCATGGAGGAGGTGGAGAACTCCTTCGGTGGAAATATCTGCCGCTGTACCGGCTATCGTCCTATTTTGGATGCCATGAAGTCCTTTGCTGTGGACAGCACAATTAAGGTGCCAGCTGAGTGCATAGACATCGAGGACCTGAGCACCAAGCAATGCCCCAAAACGGGACAAACTTGTTCCGGCAGTTGCAAGAAACAGCCAAAGAGCAGTCAACTCTATCCGGATGGTAGTCGCTGGAGCTGGCCAGAGAATCTGGGTGATCTCTTTGCTGCCTTACAGGGAGCAGTCAAGGAAAAGCTGCCCTACATGCTGGTGGCTGGTAATACGGCCCATGGAGTCTATAGACGAAGCCACGATATCAAGGCATTCATAGATGTAACCGGCTTGGCGGAGCTCAAGGGCCACAAGTTGAGCGCCGATAACTCCTCCTTAACGTTGGGAGGCAGTCTGAGCCTCACCGAAACCATGGAGATTTGCCGCCATTTGGAGAATACAAAGGGTTTCGAGTATCTTTCCCAGGTGTGGCAACATCTCGATTGGATCGCCAATGTCCCAGTGCGCAATGTAAGTCAAATCAAAGAGGTCTTATCACTTGTTAGCCCTCAAGTCTTATCTAATCAGCCCCCTATGAAAACACCTTCAGTATCAGTCGTTTATCAACCTATTTCGCATTACCCCAGGCCGGCACCTTGGCGGGCAACCTGTCCATCAAGCATGCCCACCCGGAGTTCCCCTCGGACGTGTTTATCGTCCTGGAGGCACTTGATGCCCGTGTGATTGTCCAGGAGGCGGTGGACAAGCAGGAGACTGTGAGTCTGGCCAGCTATCTGGCTGCTTCGATGGAGGGAAAGATCATCCGTGGTCTGGTGCTGTCCGCTTATCCCAAGGAGCGCTTTGCATTTGACTCTTACAAGGTGAATATTAATTAAAATGTAAACAAAACAGTGCAGAACGATATCATTTCTTATCAGTAATAGTGCAAACCTCTTCTATGTTATCAAGCAGACATTGTTAATGGCTTGTAAACACTTCTTAATGCAAGAGCTTAGGCAAAAAGTAGTTTTTATACTTCAAATTGATAAAATTAACTTAAATAAATATTTTAATTTTGATTTTCTTGAACAGATCATGCCTCGCGCCCAGAATGCCCATGCCTATGTGAACGCTGCCTTCCTCGTGGAATTCACACCGGACTCCAAGGTGAAGTCTTCACGAATTTGCTTTGGTGGAATAAATCCTGGATTCGTGCATGCCACTGCGATTGAAAAGTTGATTCAAGGAAAGAATCCCTTCGAGAACGGACTGGTGGAGAAGGCTTTCGGACAGCTTTCTACTCTGCTCCAACCCGATGCAATCCTTCCGGATGCTTCTCCCCTCTACCGTCGCAAGTTGGCCTGCGGTCTTTTCTACAAATTCCTGCTAAAGATAGCACCTCAGAGAAATCAGAGATTGGCCAGTCAATTTGTAACAGGAGGTTCTCTTCTGAAACGGCCAGTGTCCGATGGCCAGCAGAACTTCGAGACCTTCCAGGAGCACTATCCGGTGACCAAGGCCACGGAGAAGCACGAGGGTCTGATCCAGTGCTCCGGCGAAGCTACGTACTGCAACGATTTGCCGACTCAGCACAACCAGCTATGGGCGGCGTTTGTCACGGCCAAGAAAGTGGGTGCAAAGGTCACTAAAGTTGATCCCCAGCCAGCTTTGGATCTGCCCGGAGTGGTAGCCTACCTGGATGCCAAGGACATTCCCGGACCCAACTATATTGGTCCTAAGGTCAGGGATGACTTTTTCTTTCCGCAAGACGAGGAGCTCTTCGCTACGGGTGCGATCAAGTTCTATGGTCAGCCCATAGGCGTGATCCTTGCCAGCTCCAACTCTCTGGCCAATCGGGCCGCAGAGCTGGTGAAGCTGAGCTACGAGGGCGAAGCCAAGGACCTTCTACCTACTTTGAAGCATGTTCTGGATAAGATCGGATCGGAAGCTGGCAGCAACAAGCGATTGGAGCAGAAGGTTAAGTCCACCATCGATGTCCTAAAACTTGAGGAACCCTTCGACTTGAGCTCTTCTGGGCAGCTGGAAATGGGTCTGCAGTATCACTACTACATGGAGCCGCAGACCACGGTGGTTCTGCCCTTTGAGGGTGGCTTGCAGGTGTTCGCAGCCACCCAATGGATGGACCTTACCCAGGACACCGTGGCCAATGTGCTTAACCTTAAGAGCAACGAAGTTCAGGTAAAGACTCGTCGCATTGGAGGCGGTTACGGTGGCAAGGCAACACGATGCAATTTGGCCGCCGCCGCTGCAGCCGTGGCTGCTCATAAGCTGAACCGACCCGTTAGATTTGTTCAATCCTTGGAGTCGATTATGACTAGCATTGGCAAGCGATGGGCCTTCCACTGCGACTACGATTTCTTTGTTCAGAAATCCGGAAAGATCTCTGGGATTGTGAGTCGTTTCTACGAGGATGCTGGGTACCTGGCCAACGAATCCCCAATTGGTCACACCGTTTTGCTGTCCAAGAATTGTTACGAGTTTAGCGACAACTACAAGCTGGATGGATACTTGGTGTACTCGGATTCCCCGTCCAACACTCCGTGCCGTGCACCTGGCTCCGTGGAGGGCATCGCCATGATGGAGAACATAATTGAGCACATTGCCTTTGAGACCGGCCTGGATCCGGCTGATGTACGTTATGCCAACATGCTGCCGGCTCACAAGATGGGCGAAATGATGCCGCGATTCCTGGAGAGCACCAAATACAAGAAACGCAGGGAAGACATCATTGCCTATAACAAGGTAAACCGCTGGCGCAAGCGCGGATTAGGTCTGTGCATTATGGAGTACCAAATCGGCTATTTCGGACAGTTCCCCGCCACAGTGGCCATTTACCATAGCGATGGTACCGTCGTGGTATCCCACGGTGGCATTGAAATGGGTCAAGGTGGGTGGACATTATCGTTTATTTTGAGATTTATTCTTAATCTTTATGGTCTCCCCACCAGGCATGAACACCAAGATCTCGCAGGTTGTGGGCCACACCCTGGGCATTCCAATGGAACAGGTGCGCATCGAGGCCAGTGATACCATCAACGGAGCCAACTCCATGGTCACTGGAGGAGCCGTCGGCAGTGAAACCCTCTGCTTTGCGGTTCGCAAGGCCTGCGAGACCCTCAATCAGCGATTGGAGCCACTGCGCGAGGAATTGAAGCCGGAGAATTGGCAGGACCTTATCAAGGAGGCCTACAACCGCAAGATCAACCTTATCGCCAGCGATCAGTGCAAACAGGGCGACATGGATCCGTACTCCGTGTGCGGTCTCTGTCTCACCGAGGTGGAGTTGGATGTCCTCACCGGCAACTACATCGTGGGAAGAGTGGATATCCTGGAGGACACTGGCGAGAGTCTGAACCCCAATGTTGACATTGGCCAAATCGAAGGCGCCTTCATGATGGGTCTTGGTTACTGGACCTCCGAACAGGTCATTGTTGATCCTCAGACTGGCGAGTGCCTCACGAATCGAACTTGGACGTATAAGCCCCCAGGAGCAAAGGACATACCCACTGATCTGCGCATCGAGCTGCTGCCTAAGAGTCCGAACAAGGCAGGATTCATGAGGTCCAAAGGTGAGCTTAAAACCACCTGACTGAGAATCACACTAACTGGGAGTCCTTTCATTTCAGCCACTGGTGAGCCTGCCATCTGTCTGTCCATCGCGGTGGCCTTCGCCCTGCAGCAGGCCCTGCAATCAGCACGCGATGACGCCGGCGTGCCCAAGTCTTGGGTGACCCTCACCGCCCCGATGACCCCTGAGCTCCTGGTCCTTCACTCTGGCACCGAGCCCAGTCAGTTCAAGCTGAACTAAGCGGATCAGGAGTAGGAGTAGGAACTGTATTCCTGACCGTGGGACATGGCACGTGGCCGCGATGGGAACGCTCCGATAAGCACGCCCAGATAACCTGCACTTACACCCCCACTTAACCTGGCGGATCCGCCGACTCTAGACTAGCAGACATTGTGTTGTGTGCACAATAAATTAAAAACTTATCCAACGCTTAATCCAAATGACATTCATTGCGAGCCAGCCGTCGGCCTGGGTCAACAGAAGCGCCTGTCCAGAGCTCCAGGCGTTCGGAATTTACATTTTGCCCGGCTCGTTTTTTAATGCTTAACACCTCAACACCCGGACACACCCTGCGACGGGCTCTTCATTAATTTTAACATAAATTGTTGTATAGAAATTTTATGCCACGCGGAGCGTTAAGTGTGAGCTGGTCAGAAGAGGGTTCGGAGGCGGGGCAGGAGTTGCCTTGCGGTTGTGGCCGAAGGACAGGCGGCGCTCTAATGGATTTTTCAAATATCACCAACTGCTGTGCTCTTAATGAGCACATCCCTAACGACATTGTTCGATTGACACAGTCTACAAAGGACGTGACAGCTTTAATCGGGGTTGTTAAAGATGTCCTGGGGTTTGGGAATATGGATATGCTTATAACTTCTGCTACTTAAAATAGTCGATACACTCATTTATCGAAAAGGGATAGACTTATTACTAAAAGTATAAGAACTATTTTTGAACCGAACAGAAGACGATTTCACAAGAAACTGTATGTTGTAGCACATTCTGATGTTTCCAGGTTTTCAGTTTTGCTAGTTGTATTTCCCTAAGCAGAGCCTGCAGTCTTTTAACAAACATGGAACTGAATTGGATGATAATCGTAGTGCTGTTAGAATGGTTCCCAATTGGCTGTAGCCGGCTTGACGTCTTCTGCAAGTTGCCTTACTGCGGAATAAATAACCTTGCCTGCAACAATAACGCGGTGAGGAGCTATCCCTCTAGCTATGAGTTCACTATTCTATTAGTATACACCACCCAGAAATACGAAGCCATGTGTCCACCAAATGCCAGGATTATATCCATGGGGAAGTATCGTAAGAGCCTACTAAACGCCTTCAATGAGTTTCGCAATTCTACGGCAAGCGGTAAGCAAAAGTATCTGAAAGCAGCGGCTGCTCGGATGTCCCGATTAAGTAACTCTATGGATTTGGAGAAGCTATCCCGAATGGCAATCAAAACCTGCTCCCCCAACAAGCTCTGCCTGAGTTCGCCGGAATTCTACTACGTGGGAACCAATTTAGGTTCAACTTACCACGACAGATTGAACAAATTCGAGGACCTCGAGCTTATGCTGTGGACTATCCACGATTGGACCACATATGCGGATAATGTAGACATGAAAATGGTTATCTATATGCCGCCTTTTTTGGAGGAAATGTAAGGTTCAAACTGGGGTTCTGGGGAACTCAGTTTTGGTTAATTTATGCCCACTTTCAGTGGAACGGCTAAGGCCCTTCTCCTGATGGCGGATCGGAACACCCATGTAGGCTGCTCGGCGATGCGATTCACTGGGAACCACTCTGTTCACCACTTCATCTTCATGTGTGCCTTCAGTACGGATATTTTCGTGAAGCGTCCCATTTACCGTATGACGAGTAAACCAGGCACCGCCTGCAAGCGATTGGATCCAACTTATTCAGCCCTGTGTGCCGTCGGAGAGAATTACAACAATAATAAGCCTGTGCCCAATGCTATGGTCTATGGTCACACAGACCTAGCTTTAAGTAAACTTTTAAATTCGCAGAGTAAAAATGTGTTTATGATTCTCCAATTTTTGTAGAGGGCTGATGGCCAGACAAAGGTACACGCCCCTGGATACCCAAACAAAATCTGCGCACAAAAACAAATAGTTAACACCCAGACGTGGCCATGGAAGAGGAGGAGCAGCAGTACATGGAGCAGAAGGAGTAGAAGCAGGAACTGACATTTCAGCGCAGCCTCGATAATCACAGGACACATTTGCATATAAACACGCTTCCGGGCTGATGTCCTTCGCATGCAAATGAAAACATTAGCGAGGCACACGCGCATCCGCATCCACATCCGCATCCGCATCTGCGAGATGCAGATACAGTTACAGATACAAATGACATTCGTCGCTGTCGCTGTCGCTGTTGCTGTTGCTGTCGCTGTCGCCTCTTCCCTACTTAAATATATATTTCAATTAAAATTTTACACACGAATAAATGCAAAGCCACGCCCAGCACATTAGATCCCTTCCTCTCCTCGTCTCTCCTCCAAATCCCAGTCGCAATCCCATTCAGTTGCCGCTCCTCCTTCCCTTGCCGATGCTCCACTGGCCATGTCCAACTTGTGTCGCTTGTTTATGAGCGTCTGAAGGCCACGAGAGCAGACAGCAGACACGGACATGGCCATAAAACGGTTCCACTTTACTGGAGGGAGCACGAGGTTCTGATACAGATGCGGATGTGGATGTGTGGATGAGGCTGGGTGCACAGGGATCAGTGCATTCAGGGCGGGCGCCAATGGAGCATGCTGCTGAATGTCCACGGAATTATTCAAAAGTTTCACGGCGCAGACAGCCAAACGGATCCCATGAAACGATGAATTTGGCATTGTGACAAGATGAACTGGCTCTCCCAAAAGGGCCAATCATGGACACGAAGGGCTGGGCATAAACTGCTTATGGCAAATGTACATAAGAAAGTTGGTTGCAAGGATAAAAGTTGGCAATCAGATTTCGATTTTTCGGATCTTGGCTTAAGTCAAGAACTAATTCCTACAACTTTAAGCTACTTCAAAAATAATATTGTTGAAGTCACAAAAACCTCAAAACCGCAACTATCTCTTCTGGATGCATCACTCTTCCTTATCCGGCTGTCTCTCAATCCCCCATTATGAGGGTTTCCATTTCGTGGGCACACCAGAGTCAACCATGAACTTGAACTTGCGACTGTAATAATAATAATAATGCAGATCCCGACTAACGATCCCCGCACCTCTCCACTTTCAGCTGGAGCTGGGCAGCTTTTATTTCTTTTTCATAGCCAGCACATCCCCAGTCCGACTGTCCTTGCCTGTCTGCGACCATTGTCTGGCTTGCATTTCAAATTCTAAGCAAATTTGTCGGCCCTGGAGAGGGGGTGGAGATGATAGGGGGAATGGAGATGTGCAGGATCTGATTCCGGGGTGTGAGCAGGCGCAACATTTTATGAGCGTGCCCGCGATGCAGCGACTCAGATATGACCAGGCAAACGTCTGCTTGGCGGACTCCAACTGCTCCAGTTTCCAGGGCAACCTTTTCAATGGCTTTTGCTGTTACACTGACAGAAAAGTTTTTAATTTTACAAATTACAAATAAAAAAGCAGAAAATATCATCTTACATATCAAAATCTTTCTTACTATAGAAAATCTTAATAATTATTACAGTTTCGAACTTGATGGGTCTTTCTCTCAGTGATGGTGGACTGCTGGTGGTCTGCAATGGTGTTGCGTCTGCTGCTGGCACACAAAGATGTCCCGGTGTGATTTATCGCCGGCAGAGCCGGGATAATGGCCACGTATTATAATATCTGGCGCGCCCACAGGGCGTATGCTTATCGGAGTCGACACCGCCGACAAGGACGGCGATGTGGCCGTCAAGGTCTAGACTCTAGACTCCTGCGGTGCAGTTGGTGGCATAGCCAAGGATTTCGCTCTCCGTTGCTCTGCTGCTCCATGCCTTCTTGCATTTTCATTTGCATTTCCCCGAAGAGCGGAAAACTGCATGCAGTTTATTAAATAGAAAACGGTGTTGAAAAAAAGGAGGCTGCTAAGGATTAAGTACATCATTTCGGGCTGGCTTGATTGTCGGCTGCTTTTGGCGCATATCCTGTGGGTAGGACACATTCGCATAGCCGGATTTTATGCCGCAGCGAATATCTTCACCGACTCCTTCTCCTTTTTCTCGGGAGCTTAAATCGTGAGCCAAATACATAAAATCTACGCATGCATGTCTGGCAGGCTCTCGGTGTTAGCGTGAGTGTGAGTGTGTAAGAGTGTATCCTTTGCCGCATCCTTTTCCACTTAATGCCGACTGCATTGTACCCAGAAAACACACACACACATACACTCATGTGCATACGTACTGGCTCGCCTTTGTATGTATTTGATATCATTAAAATTTTGAGCTTGCCACTGCAGTGGCAGCCAAAGAAGCAGAAGTAGAATCCGAATCAGATTCAGAAGCAGCAGCTTGTCCTTGCCATTGGTCCTTGCTATTGTCCCTTGGTCCCTGTCCAGGCCCCTGATCCTTCCGAGCGTCTGGCCAAACATGAATAGCAAAGTCTGGCAGTCTCCCCGAAAAAAGAAAAACGAAAAACTATGCATTTATGATATGTATTTTCAAGTTTATTTGTTCAACGGACTTTGCACTGCTCGAGCGGGTTAAAATATTTCTGCATGTATGCACAAGTTCTGGGAATTAGGAGGAATTCAGATTGGCTTAGAGGTGGGGTGTAGTTCGTGCCTTTTCTTGCCACAATCACTTTAAAGCTTATTTAATGTTCAAAATGTTGAGATATGTAAAGTTTTCATGCAACAATCCCTCAAAGACCAAGAAAAAGGCAACGAGACCAAAGTGAAGTTTAATTAAATTTAAATCCAAATGGGACTTAATATCCAGTCTTTTCGTTCATAATTAAAAAATACGCAATATCCGATTTTTCAATAACCGAAAGCCACCCTGAAAATGGGTGGATAACTCTCAGCATCAGAAGAAGAAAAAACGACTCATTCTGATGTCCTGTTCACGGCCATGGCCATCGCAGGATCCCTTTGCCAGGGCGAGAATCCGATTCGAATGAGTGCGACTGATAGGCGACGACAAGGACACCGACTGCCAGTTGCAAAGGACAAGCGGGCGTAACTCAATCTGTGGATGGGCAAAAAGGAATATCCAGCCAAACGCACTGCCGCAGGACAATGATAGCCAGAATGCGCCCAGTCCTGCCAGAATAAAAAGTCCTGTAAAAACTCACACAAAATAAAACCAATCTGCTGGCCATTTGCTTATATACCCTGTATGAGCCATATTGAGCCATATAAATGTATGATCTTTGATAAAGTCAGGAAAGTGAAGCTCAGTATCTTGAATGTCATAAAATGCAGGTTCACTTTCTCCGAATGTGATAACTTCTATAAAAAGGAATTAAAACTTTTCGTTAAATTACACTTTTCCTTACCAAACTAAAGGGAATCCGAATGTCCAAAGGAAAAACTGCATTACTAAGCCGCATCAATTGTTTTTCTTTTTCCTCGGCTTTCTGAGTAAATTAAAAAGTAAATTTCTGCACAGAGGACGCATCTTCTCGTCCAGCCAATAATTCAATCAATTTATTTGCACTTTAATGCAGGGAATCGGTGGGCAAAGTCGGGTATAACGGGGGTGTATGTTCGTTACCGTGCACGCCATGACCGTAAAGCTTTCGCTGGCCTGGCGGAGAAAGCGCGAATAAAAATGAAATCAATTATGTTGAAACTTTTTTGAGCGCCAATACCGCTGGCTATGTTGTAATTAATACAAAATGCTCTGGCCTGAGACAGGCGAAAGGGGGGAGGACTCGATAGGGTGTGGGGATCGTTATAGCCGGGGGCATGCCAAAAGTTGAGTCTTTGCCGCAGTGCCGTTGCCCGAAACTCAATTTGATAAAAATTTCATTTACAATTGCCGACGATGGCGGCATCGTGGCCGTCCGTTATCCCGTTATTCCTGCTCCCCTGCTGCCTTGGAAAATGTGGGAGTGGACAGTTGGCCGGGACGCGTACGAATCGCAGGACTAGCTAGAGGACTCCGTTTCGCCTCTGTCAATTGTTGTGTTTATTAATTTAATTTGACAGTCGCGAGTCCCTCGCACGTTGCCACTTCGCCTTGGGGTTCTGAAAAGGGAATTTCCAGGGGGGAATGGCTTCATTTTGTGGTCTCTGTACTGCGGTCTGTATTAGTATCAACTGAGGGAGCAGAGGGGCAGGGACTGAAGGTAGATATTGCGGATGGCTGGCATAAGTTGTTTATTCAATATCCGTTAACCATTTCAATCCATCCATTTGCTAATCAGTCTCTAACTGCTATTTCATAATCACAGCAACAGTCATTGGAGTCCCTGGCAATCGAATTCAGCAGAACCATTCAATAAATCAAGTGAACAGAACCAGTGGGAGCCTCAAAGGAAAGGTAATGTTCGAGATACGAAGTTGGAGATACTCTTATCTATAATATATTTGAATATAAGTTCACTGATTGAAGCTATCATTCTGCGTTCTGGGCTATATAAGAACTTAAAAACATCCTAAAAGTATGCAATAATCAAATTATCTTTAGTTTTTAACTATACAACTTACATTTTTTATTCAAAAATAGTTAGTCTAAGTATACCCAAACTTAACTAGTCTGTACTCTCAAATCTACGGCTAGCTTAAACCCTGCCATTTGTTATAAATTAACTTTGCACGTTTTCTGCATTGATTGGGCGGCATCGAGGTAGGTAGAAACTTGATAGTTAATGCCCCAATCCTTTCCCCCTGCCCATTATCCAGAATTAATCCCAGTCGGCTGGGCAGACACTTTTAGTTAAGCGGCGCATGTGGCTGGCACATTTGTCAACCGGCAGCGAAGTCGGCAAAACATCAACGCCAACGCAACAAAACTGGACAAAAACTTCAGCTGCCTGAAGAGCGAGTAGTGTTAAATATATATACACATACCCGATCCGATGGGATCCCCGCAGCCCACCTTTCTCAGCTATAAACAATTTATGGGTTTGGGAAGTCTCGCGCCAGCGACATGCAATGCATGCCAAGCGCCTTTGCAATTGCTGTCAATTGGACTGGCAACATGTTGGCCAGGTCAAAACGGGCCAAGATGCGACTCCAGCAACATGTTGGCCAATCTGGACGGGTATTGCATTTCAGC